GGGGTGGGAGGGGGGTTTGCACACCAACGACTCACAGTTCTCCTCGTCCGAGTTGTCCTCGCAGTCACTGTCCCCGTCACACACCCAGGCCTTAGGAGCAGGGGGGGGGGGGGTGGGGGGGGGGGGGGGGGGGGGGGGCAGAGGGGTGGTGTGGGGGAGGCAGGTCTTGGCGTGGGGCAGGAGGGGAAGGGAGTGGAGCATGGCAGCCCCAGAGGGGCTGGCAGAGGTGGGACCCGGAGAAGAAAAGGGGCTGGGTAGGGACAGCAGAGGAAAGGGAAATGGTGGGCAAGCGGCCTGGCACAGTGACATTTCAGCCAGGCAGAGAGCTGGGCCCTGGCCACCGGGATGGAGAAGAAAAGGACTGTGGAGCTGCTGGAGGGGGAAGAGCTGGTGAAGGCCAGGAGGGGAGGAAGAAGGTGACACAGAGCCCGCGGACATGGATTAGAGGGAGGATAGCTGGGGTGTTCATGATATAGAGCATCTAATTCACAACTTTGATGCAGCCGGTTTGATAAAGCCGGAAAGGAGCGAATAAAGCGTTTGTTCTGATCTCCTGACAGGTGGAGAGCCAGTGCCTCGGCAATGGGCTCCTGGCTCCAACAGAGACTAAATTGCTCTGAGAATTGGGATGCGATGGGCTGCTTTTCAAGGTTTGCAAGTCAAATTGGGCAATTTCCAGGTGGAAATCGAGTCTTTATTCTCCCTGATAAAAATGTTTCTCTGCAGCAGCGTTTCGCCCCAGCTGTGCTCAGAGCTAAGGCGCTGCTCCCTGATGGTAAGAAACAGCAAATCCATCCCCGGGGCTGGCAGGGAAGAGCCAGGCTCCTTCTGGAGGAGCCGTGCCAGGGCCTCTGCGGGGCTGTGGGCCACCCCACTGCCCTGTCCCCAGCCCTGGTGCCAGCAAGCCGTGCCCGTGAGCATCAGCAGGGGAGCAGCGTGAGCATCCAAAGAGTGGAAAGAGGGGCTCGTAACGCTCAACCTGGAGCCGGCAGTGCCAGCAAACCAGCCGCGCCCGGCCGCTGTGGCACCAGGGGCTGGCAGGGGGCTGGCGACCCGCTGCCACCGTGTCCCCCATCCCCGGCGGGGCACCCCCTGCTCGGTACTCACCCCCGGCACTTGGGAGAGGTGGCCGCTAGATGTCCCAGGCACTCCACGCACCGCAGGCTGCCGCTCCGGCCGCCGCACCCCCCCGGGAAACCGGGGACGGGAGGGACCCGACCGGTCCCCGGCAGCATCTCCCGGCTGAGCATCCCACAGCACCGCGGGGCCGGGACAGGGTGGGCACACCGCCTGCTGGGCACGGCTATGCCTCCACAACACCCCCTGGCCTCGCTGGGGTGACCCCAGCTCCTGCCAAACCTCGGAGCTCACCGGCAGGGATGCGGCCATGGGGTGCGCCCCGGTGGGATGTACCCCTTCCCTGCCCCTCACGCAAGGGAGAGGGGAAAAGGACTCAGCGAGCTGGCAAGGGGTGGGGGATGGAGAAGCATGGAGAGGGATGGTAATAAAACACATGGTTGTGTGGGTGGCTAGGTGTATAATTAGCAGGTTTGGACTCTCTCAGCATCCTTTTTTTAGCTGGAGATGTAAACAAGTAAATAAGGTGGCTGTCAAGAGTTTCCGCAGGCTGTCCTGGGTGTGGGTCTCCTGGGTGCATGGGATGGTGGAGGAGACAGGGCAATACAGGGGGGTGATTCCCGGGGGCTGCCCCAGTGCTGGAGGGCAGTGGAGCTGGGGCAGCCAGATGGGGCAGAGCAGAGAGGGCGACCTGGCCAGCAGTGCTGGGCAGGCAGGGAAGTAGGCCAGGATGGGATCAGAGATGAGAAAGCTCTGGAGGTGCCAACAGCTACACAGGGGCCATCTTCTCAGCCCTGGGGCACTCCTGCTGGATTTGCACCCAAACAACCTTCAGCCCTACAGGGCCCTCAACAGCAAGACCTAGTGAGGGGCTTTAAAGGGGGATGACATCAAACAAAACTGATTGACAGCTTTCACTGGAGGCTTCTTCACATTTCTATTTGGGGACAAACATGCCAGCTCAGGGGCAGGGGAGAGTGAATTCCCCTGTCTGCTGTAGCATCCAAATCACTGGCCTGTGGAAACGTGAGCTCAGACTGGGAGGTGCAACCTCCTCTTCCTCAGCTCAGGACCGCCCTAAGGAAATACCCTAAAGCTGCTGCACTCAAAGCTGTCTGAACAGAGAGGTATTGGCTCCCTACCCTCAGTGCAGAAAGCCATCTTGGGAACTGGGACTCCTGTAGAGCTACCTACTGACCCCTGGGCTCTGAGAAGCAGGACTGCTTCCAGCACAGATGCAGCCCCGTCCCTCAGGGTTCTGAGCCCAGAGACCAGGCTTCCTGCCTGGGGTGCCCATAGGAACACCAAGACCATGCTGTCAGAAGCATCTCACAGAGGTCCCCCAAGATGTGTTTACTACCAGGATATTTTTGCTGCCACTGGATGCTCAGAAGCTTGTGCTCGCAGACTGTAATTTTGTTCATGGCTGATTTTCCTATGCTAATGGTTACAGTCCTCAATTTCACATCAGGTTTTCTCATTGCTATTTATACCCAGTATCGAACTGAACACAGTGGGTATCCTAGATGGCTCCAAGCTCTTCTCCCTGCCTCTGCTATCTCACCCATACCCTTTTGCTCCAGCCTCATCACCTCCACTTCAGGGCGTTTCTTCTGCCCATGAAGTCCCACAGGCCATTACCCCTTCACAGTTGGTGTTGCCCCATCCTCTGCACAGATCGCTCTCAGCTGCCTGGTCCTGTGGCACAAGGTGAGCATCACCCATGGGGAGCAGCAATACCCTGCACTGGAGCAGACCTGTGTCTTGTGCTCCCCTCTGGGACCAGCCTCAAGCTCCTCAGCTCTCCTGTCCAGCCTGCCCCAGGCTGTGCAGGGTGTCTGCACCCCAGGGATGCTCTCCCTGCCACAGCCTGTCACCCAGCATGGAAGTGACCTGGCAAATAGGACCCAACTTTCTTCCAGGTGAGAGACCCGCACCAGCCAAGACCAAGGTGGGGATGGAGACGTAGCATGAGGTTGGCAGCTGGCATCGGGGGGACAGAGAGATGTCCTCCCCTTCACAGCTGTGCCTCGCTGATAGAGCAGCTTAGCTGCAGCGCCTAACTCCATCAGCACATCTCTCCACAAATCCCCCTCCTATCAATCCAAGCTGGCAATGTAAAGCGGCTGCTAAGGACTGCTCATTTGTCTCTGTTTAAAACATATCCGTACTCAAATGATTCATAACCGCCCCGAAGGCTAGCACACGCTGGCACCCTCCTTTCCCCACTGTCCTGTTTATTTTATCCACTGTCTGCCTGCCTTCAGCTCAGGGCTATTTCCACTTTGCTTACCGTGGCCTGATTCTCCTGGGGATTCACAGAGCTCCTCTACAGTTCAGATGTTTAATTCATTTGCTGATGATCTGTTCTCTCTTTAAAAATGAACTTATGCTGTGGACACGACACCTTTCTCGCTTCCTTTTCCAAACCCTAAGTTTCCAAACACAGCCTGTATTTATCAGCAGTAAGCTGATCTCCTACTCCCAGCACGCTCTGGCCAGCATCCACAGCCTGAGACAAACTTCCAGGTGTTAAATTATTACCTGGGTCAACAGGTGCATTCCAAAGCAAATGTTGAGCCTCTTTTTAATATTTGTTATTGCCAAAGAAATTGAATCCTCGGGTGGAGATGTGCCCTCTGTGTTTAAAGAGGCACAGTTCACGCTGGCAGCAGCTATAGGAAAGGTTTGTTCTGTCTCCAGGAACACAGTGAGAGGAAAGGCAGCAGCTACTCCTGACCTTCCCACGGCTCTTCTCTGCCCCATGGTTCCAGGGGGCCAGGAGCATGCAGAAGATGATGCTAAATTATCTTCTATAAGGTATGCAAAGAGATGGTACAAAACCACGTCACGTTGTCTTTCCCATGGCCCCAACTCACTCCCTGACTCCCATGGTCAAGTCCTGACCGTACCTGGCTGAGGGGCACTCTGGGCTGTTCCTGCCTTCACCATCCGGATGCTTTCCCTCTCTTCCTGGTCTGTTTCTCTTCCCTGCCCACAACGCAGCTGGATTTAGACCAGCCCTTCCTGGGGCTGAGCCCACGTTGCTGCTTGCACCCATCTGGTGTCGTAACGTGTCGCAGGAGGTGGCTCTGCTCTTGGTGAGCAGCACCAGTGGTCCCGCATGGGCCGAGCAAGGACATCCCACTCATGGCACTTCCCTCTCAGCACGTCCCTGCTGTGCAGGGATGAGCTCCAGCACCCTCCATCTCACCCTGTCCTCCCACCTTGGAGGCTGGGATGGTTTTTGGAGAAACTGCTGCCCAGCTCAGGAGCAGCACCAGCGTGGCCACCACACGTGGCATCGCATCTCTGAGCTGCTGCACAAGTGCCCCAGGCCAATTGCTCATGCCAACAGTAGAGTCCCCAGACGCAGAGCTTGGAGAGCAGTCCTGTGACCAGCTCTGCTTTTCAAAAGATACCTGAAGGGTTTCACTGCAAAACAAAGCTGATTTAAGTGATTCACCCAAAAAATGGTGGGGATCAGCGGAGCCTCCCCTTCCAGGCTGAGCAAAGCATTTGGACTCTTTTGCTGCCTTTTTCACTTGACAGAGAAGCAGCAACAGAAAGACAATTTGAAGGAAATCTATTATGGACTTCCCCCCCCCACCACCAGTGCTGTGGCTTGGCTCTTCAGCTGGAAAAGTCAATCATTTGTCCATCTCTAATTCTACAGAGAAATAGTGGCTGAAGACCCTGCCTGAAATTACCCTCGGAAAGCCACAGGAGAGCTGCATCCCATGAGCAGTGCCTGGCAGCCCCAGGCTCAGGTACAGGCTTTAGAGTACAGGCAGAAAAGAGCCAAAATCTGCCTGATTCAGAGACCATGCTTGCAGGGGAGCTGGAAAACAACTCAAACAATGGATATTAAATGGGAAGAAGTGTGATGGAGTCAAGAAGAGGTAAGACAGGCTTTGGGAAGGGCCATGGTGCATCAGTGTCTGGGGTCTAATGCTGATGGAGATGGGGTGACACCAGGGGCACCCAGCGGGGAGGGCAGGGGGCAGGAAGGGCAGAGCTTTGGGCCACCCATCAAGGTTGAGGATGCTCCTGGGAGGCTGCAAGCACATCCCATCCCATGCAGAAGGGGCAGCTGAGCCATGAGGGCTTGAAGTGCCCATGCCCGTGTTGGGGGACCATTCTTTACAGCTCCCAGGCTGCCAGGCCGGCCAGCACTGACCCCTTTGGGGCTTGCTCCACAGAGCTTGCAGGTGGCAGAGGGGGATTTCAAGGGGCAAGTTTTTACCGAGCACTTGGTCACCTCTCCTCAAGCGATGGTGACGTCTGCAGGCTGGGCTGAGGGCAGGGAGGGGTTGGGTACCACGCAAAAAGCACGGATTTGCTGTACAAATTCACCGTGCCGGAGCTGCAGCAAATTACTCATTCTTTAATAATGGTGTTTATTACCTGCCTCTGATGGTGGTTCAGGGAGCCAAAGTGAAGCGGATTCAGCTCCCCAAAGCTTTAGCTCTGCCAGCCATTTTCGTGACACAAGAAACTTTTGCTGAAGAAACGCAGTCACTATGTTTTGGCTCGGGTAATTCCTTCTCCTGACAGCCTACAAAGTAACCAGCTATTATCCCCCAGAGACCAAGGCTTTTTTTTTCCCTTATGCGTCGCAGGCAGGCTCAGACCCCTCTCCGCTGGTTATCCCTGGTATTTACATAGCGCTACCTTCCTCCTGGGAAAGAGGTTTCTACTGGTGGCAGATCCTGAGTTTGTGGAAAGGGAATTTATTTTTTCCAGAAGCAAAGCAGGCAGCCCAATAAAGCAGGTCTGGGGAGAGCAGCACAGCTTTTGTGGAACCTGCAGCAGCTTCGAAGGAGGAATTATAAACAGGGCAGAGATGGAAAGCGCTTCCCTTCAAAATTCCTGAATGTGTGGCTCTTCCCCCAAATACAAGCTGGGATGGTGTCTGCAGGGCTATGGGGAGATGGTGCTGCTCAGGAGAGTCATTCCCTTGGCACAATTTATGGCACTGGCAGTAGCCCTCTCGACCGAGGTGCCCAGACCTGCTCCCCTGCCCGGGTGCATCCCAGGGATGCGCACCCAGGGTGGCTCCTGCCGGCGGCTGAAGCTCTTCAGCAGAAGGAAAGCGACCCCCAAACTTCACCCAGCAGCTGAGCTGCCTCCTGGGGAGGGAGCCCCAATGGCCGGCTGGGTCCGAGGTGCCATTGCAGTTGGTCTGACGTCCCTGGCCTCCAAAACTTTTGCTGAAACCCTTACATTTCGCCCACCCCAGACCCTCCGACCGGGTAGTTTTGCCCTGGTTTCTCCAGGTTCCAGCTTTTCACCTTTTTTAGCCCCTGACACATTTTTCTGACCCCCCCACACACGGGGCTAACCCGAGCTTGGCACCGGGCTGGTTTTCGCCGGGGGCGGGTCGGGGGGGGAGACCAGGCAGCCCCACGGGAACCGAGCGGGGTGGCTGGGGACGAGCGGCGGGGACCCCCCTCCCAAGGAAAGCCACCCTCCTCCCGCCGGACGAGCGGGGGATGCGCCCACCCGGGAGCGGAGCGCGGGTCCTTACCTGCGTGTCGGGGAAGGGCTCAGCCGCCAAGTTGGAGCGGCGGCGGCAGAAGAAGTGGAGCGGCGGCGGCGGCGGGCATGACGGCGGCCGGGCTGCGGGCAAGAGGGGGGCGTGAGGAGACGGCGGCCCGTCCCCCAACCCCTCGGTGGGGGTCCGGCGGCCCTGCGGCGGGGCCCCCCGGCCGTGGGGCTGGCGGGGAGCGGCTTGGCGGAGCC